AGATTTTCAAGAGTTTTTGAAGAGATTCTGAAGAGATTTTGAAGACATTTTGAAGAAATATTGAAGAGATTTTGAAGGGATTTTTAAGAGATTTTGAAGAAATTTTGAAGAGATTTTGAAGAGATTTTGAAGAGATTTTGAAGAGATTTTCAAGAGTTTTTGAAGAGATTCTGAAGAGATTTTGAAGACATTTTGAAGAAATTTTGAAGAGATTTTGAAGAGATTTTGAAGGTATTTTTAAGAGATTTTGAAGAGATTTTGAAGAGATTTTCAAGAGTTTTTGAAGAGATTCTGAAGAGATTTTGAAGACATTTTGAAGAAATTTTGAAGAGATTTTGAAGAGATTTTGAAGGGATTTTTAAGAGATTTTGAAGAAATTTTGAAGATTTTAAAAAAATTTTGGAGATTTTGAAGAGATTTTGAAGAGAGTTTGAAGAGATTTTGAAGAGATTTTGAAGAGATTTTGAAGAGATTTTGAAGAGATTTTGTAGAGATTTTGAAGAGATTTTTAAGAGATTTTGAGGAGATTTTGAAGAGAGGTTGAAGAGATTTTGAAGAAACTTTGATGGGTCTTTGAAGAGTTTATGAACAGATTTCGAAGAGATTTCGGAGAGATTTTGAAGAGATTTCGAAGAGATTTTAAAGAGATTTTGAAGAGATTCTGAAGAGATTTTGAAGACATTTTGAAGAAATTTTGAAGAGATTTTGAAGAGATTTTGAAGGGATTTTTAAGAGATTTTGAAGAGATTTTGTAGAGATTTTGAAGAGATTTTTGAGAGATTTTGAGGAGATTTTGAAGAGAGGTTGAAGAGATTTTGAAGAAACTTTAATGGGACTTTGAAGAGTTTATGAACAGATTTCGAAGAGATTTCGGAGAGATTTTGAAGAGATTTCGAAGAGATTTTAAAGAGATTTTGAAGAGATTTTGAAGAGATTTTGAAGAGATTTTGAAGAAATTTTGAAGAGATTTCGAAGAGATTTTGAAGGGATTTTTAAGAGATTTTGAAGAAATTTTGAAGAGATTTTGAAGAGATTTTGAAGAGATTTTCAAGAGATTTTCAAGAGTTTTTGAAGAGATTCTGAAGAGATTTTGAAGACATTTTGAAGAAATTTTGAAGAGATTTTGAAGAGATTTTGAAGGGATTTTTAAGAGATTTTGAAGAGATTTTGAAGAGATTTTCAAGAGTTTTTGACGAGATTCTGAAGAGATTTTGAAGACATTTTGAAGAAATTTTGAAGAGATTTTGAAGAGATTTTGAAGGGATTTTTAAGAGATTTTGAAGAAATTTTGAAGAGATTTTAAAAAGATTTTGGAGATTTTGAAGAGATTTTGAAGAGAGTTTGAAGAGATTTTGAAGAGATTTTGAAGAGATTTTGAAGAGATTTTGAAGAGATTTTGTAGAGATTTTGAAGAGATTTTTAAGAGATTTTGAGGAGATTTTGAAGAGAGGTTGAAGAGATTTTGAAGAAAGTTTGATGGGACTTTGAAGAGATTTTGAAGAGATTTTGAAGAATATATTATACCTCAAAACAAAAGCAGCAAGCAATCAACCAGGACCAGTAGAAAAAATAGGGCAATAAGGCGCAGCACTACAGTCATTTCTTTTTAATAGACAAGAAATTAAAACGTTTTCCTTGTATGTAATTACTTTTAGATAATAAAAATAATTGTTGTGCTCCCTCTAAACAGCGATAACTTAAAATGTTTACGGTGTAGAAGAATCCCACGTAAATTACGGCATATTTACCTCACCTTGACTTGAGCGATGTACGATAAATACGCACTCGTGACGACCACTTGTGGAATTGATAAAAAAACAAACCAAACCCAATAAGTCATGCGCAACGCTGATCCATTTCGGTACATTTGAGGTTTAACTCAGACCTCAGTTAATGGAAAGTTTGCCGTTCAGAGCTTCGTGTAATTAGTTAATTGTGTTGATTTGGTAAGTGATAATATACCTATTGAATCCAATGCTCCTAATGTAAATATTCGCTTATTGATTGCCTTGGCAGCTAAATTTGGCGCTTGAGTAAGAAGGAGATTCTTGCACGACTTTTTACGCAGCACCGTGGGAAATAAATTAAACCATTAAATAAAAAACGTGTTTTTATTCAATTAATAAACACATGACCAACTTTCTCGAACTTTAATTGAAATAGAAAACGGAGTTCAAGAGCAAATTATGCCGCAAAGTCCATCTGACTGTTAATTACCTTGGAAACACAAACACAAACGTGAAAAATCAACCCTTTTCCCTCCTTATTATCTCTTTTTGATCACTTTTTTTTGTTTCGTATAATATGCTACTTTAGACCTTTTCAGTCCCTTTTCGGTTTTTTATGGCTCTCCTTTAACCTATTTTTAACCCATCGTTCGTTAGTCTTTTGTAGTGTTTTGCTTTTCGTCTTGTTTTTTTTTTTCCTTTTCACTCTTTTTGGTGTATTTAGCCGCTTCTGTGTTGTGGTCTTCTTGGTTTTTGTATTTTCTCTTTTGCTTTGTTAGTCTTTTTAACGTTAGCAGTCTCTTGTTTCGATTTAGCATCCTTTAATGTTTCGTTCGTCTCTTTTTAGTTCTCCTTTAGTCTTTCTCTATTTGATCTGTTTGTAGTCTTTTCAGTCTTGCTATAATTTTTCTTTGATTTCTCTTCACATACTTTCCTCTCATATTGATTTCTCATGCAACCCTCTTTTTATAGGTGAGGGCGGGAGGGGGGGGCATGAATTATTTCCTGAGATGCTACTTTTGAAAGTTAAACGTGCATAACTTTTACATGCAACGGCCAATTGGTATCCGATTTTGCATACGTATGCCTTTAGTGGTGCCAAGTAAAACTTTTTAAAATTGGGGAGGGGGGGGGCACACGTTCTACCCTTCATGGTATTCTACTGAAGGGCCTCAACGGTTTGTGAGGGACTGATTTTATCCTTCGTGCTACTCTAATGAAAGGTCTCAACAAACGACTAGCGTTTTTAAATCCTTGCTTTGGGTTTCAAATTTTAATGCTAGTCCCTTTTTAGTATTTTTGGCTCATTTCTGATCTCTTTCGGACCGCTTTGTATCTGTAATCTCTTCGATTCTAGTTTCTTTAGCGCCTTCAACCGTTTTCTGGCATTACAGAAGCGTTTTTTAAGTTTCCATTTAGTCTTCGTTCGTCCTCTTCATTCTTTGGTCTACTTTTTAATATTTTCAACCGCCCTAGTCTCTTTTCTAGCTTTTTTTCATTTCCCTGAACTACGTAGCTACTTTGGTCTTTTCCTTTGATCCTAATACTCCATTGCTGGTTCGTTGATCTATTTATCTTTGTAATCCTGCTGCTTATCTCTTTTTTGTTGTTTTGGTGTATTTGGCCTCCTTTGTACCTTCCTTTTAGTCTCGTTATTTTTCTTTGGTTCCTTGCCACATATCTCTTATTGGCCTCTCATACAACTCCCCCTTGCTTTATTTTGGTTTTGTTTTTGCCGACCCTTTCGTTTATTTAGTTTCTTTAACGTTTTTAGTAGTTTTTACTCCCTCTTTATCCTCGTTTTCGCTTTTTGTGGTTTATCTTAGATCTCAAGCCATTTCCAATTCAATCTCTTTTGATCTTCCTTATCTCTTATGCTCCCTTGCTCCCTCCCTCTTTGTCATTTCTTTAGTCCATTGAGCTTCCGTGGATTTTCCTTAGTTATCTATTTTTTTCTCTTAGTCACACTTTTAGTCCTTTTAAGTCTTTGTTTTTTCGTATATCTTTGAGCCCCCTTTGTTTCCTCTTTAGTGTACCCTTTGAATATAAATATTCAAAGGTGTACCTTTAGTTTTTAATATTTTATTTCTCTCTTTATGTCAGTTTCTTGTTGACCTCTTGACGGTGTTCTCCTGCTTAGTTTTTGGTCTATTTTTAGTCTTCTTCGTTGCATTCTCGTGTCATTTGCTGCGTTTTGATCTTCTTCCCCGTTGATCCTCTGAAAACTGCTTTCCCTATTTATTTCTTGTCTCCTACTTGACCCATTTAGTGGTCTAGCTCGATTCCCGGTCTAGCAAACCAAAATCTTTGGCGCCACTCAATATTTGGCGGCTATAGAGGGTAGTGCTGCCACATCACTTCCTTGGAGTTCGTTCCAGAAAAGGGCGTGACCCAAGCACATTCAAAATCCGTATAGTATCCCAGTTGCTTAAAAGGCTCTTTTTTAGTCTTTTTTCGTTAGTATCTAAGATTAAGTTTACTATAATATCATCTCTTTTTACTTCTTCTCTATTGGTCGTTTCTAGCTGTTTTGACCGTTCTTTACGCTATGTTCATATGGTGCCTCTTTGCTGAACCTTCAAATCTCTTTTTCATTGGTTTTCTTAGTTCATTGGCATCACTGGCCTCTTAGGTTGAAGTCTTTGGTCTCCTTTGCGTCTCTTTGACTTCTTTGGTTCGTTTATACTCTTCAGTCGTTTTAATGCCTTTGTAACAGATCCAAACCTTCACCTTGTCTCAAGTGTAAAGTTTTCGGTTCAAGAGTCAAAGGTAGTTTTAAAGTTTAACCTTAGCTTCTATGGACTTTTATCAACTTTCTTTTCTCTAGCATTTTTTGATATCTGTCCTTTGGTCTTTTTTAGTCTCGCTTTAGTCTTTTAGCCCTTTTTTACTAGGTATTTAGACTCTTTTATTAAGTCGCTTTTATTTTTATCCCCTTCCTCTTGGTGGTCCTTTTCTCTCTTTAATCTCCTTGGTTTATTTAGTTTTTCTAGTCTGTTTAGCACCTCGAGTCTGTTTTTGGTGTCTTAATCTCTTCTCTGCTGTCTTACTATAGGCTTTCACTCTGTTAGAACTATTTTTGAGCCTCTCTGTTGAAATTATTCCTATTTTTTGAATCTGTCGCCACATTTGGTTGCGTTGGCTCCTTTTAGTCCTTTTTGCTTTTTGCCCTCATTGGGCGTGCTTTTTATCCTTGTTAAACCCGTTAGTTCCCTTTAAGTCTCTCTTAATCCATTCTTAGTATCTTTTTGGTAATTCGTCACTTTTCCTCTAATTTGGTCTCCCTAGATCCCTCGATTTCCTTTCGTCTCTTTGGATTCCTTGGTATCTCTGGTCTATTCTTCCTTCCATCGGTTCCTTTGTTTCCTCTGGTGGTTAGTAGGTTTAGATTTGTTGTAACCCAAACCTAGCCTCAATTTTTGAGGCCCAAGTGTGAATTTTTGATTTCTAGGCTCTAGTACCTATAATTTCCCTCTTTTTGTTTTTATTAAGTGGGCGGGGTTTCAACCAAGGCTGCAACCCACTATACATTTACCGATTTTCATGCCTGAACCCGGATCCGAACCAAAGAGGATCCGGCTTTCTATAGTTATCTTCTTTAGCCCTTTAACCCTTTTTAGTACCTTTGTCTTAATTGTATCTATGGTCTCTTCGCCTCTTGGGTACCTTCAGCCGTTTTTTTGGCATTTTAATATCTTGTTAACCTTTTTGGTTCTTTTATCCTTGTCTCACTTTTCCGTCCTCTTTTGTTTTCATCTTTAGGTCTACTTTTGAATCATTTCTAATCTTCCTCGTCACTTTTCAAGCTTTCTTCATCTCCTTGAATTATGTAGGCACTTTGGTCTTTTTGGTCTTCTTTGTTTGCTTTCTCCTTTATGCTTCAGATTCCAGAAATCAACTGTTACAGCTTCGCTTCTAGGGTCTGGTATACCACCTTTATAGCCCTTTAAGTTCTCTTCCTTCATTGTCCCTCTGTTTGTTCCCTTTTTATTATATTTCGATTTTTCTGGTTTCTTTCTTTCGGATTCAGTTTGTTAGCCATTTTTCGGATATTTTTAGTCTCTTTGGTTTCCTTAAAGCTTTTGGAATTTTTAAATTAGGTAGCCCTCTTGGTGCTTTCGGATCCTATGGTCTCTTTAAAGTTTGTTCAGTCCCTTTTTACTATGCGTTTAGTCCCCTGTTGACTCCCTATGTGGTTTATCTTAAGCCGATCTCTTCCTATTTTCTTCCTTGGTTAGTATATTTTTCCTTTATTTTCATTTTCCCTTTTGTTTTTCTTACGTTTTGGTTTTTTGGGTTTTCTTTTTCCTTGGTTTAGTATTTTCTTCTTCTAGTATCGTTCTAATCCCTGCTCTTCCTTTTTGGCAATTTTCTTTTGATTTTGTTCTTGTTTCCGGTGTTTTGCTGGTTTGTCTGCTATTTAAGGTTTAAATTAAGCTTGGTACAGTCACGCGTGAAAGGTGAACCATGGTTATTGGGGTTGTGCTAGGGCGCCATTCTGTTAGGGACATTAGACAAAGTATCATTGTGCTACTGAAACTGTGTGAATGAAGATCAAACTGGAGCTGCATCCAATATTCTTCATACCAAAGGATTCAGCGAGAAGATAAACTTGAATTCCTCTTTCAGTATGTTGGAATGGCTACGATTTTCAACTGCGCATGCGCCGATTTCCTGGCCGTGGTAATAGCCTGCGTGATCGGTCTAATCACGTTCTTCAAATGGAGGTTTAAATACTGGGAAAGAAAGGGCTTACCTTACATCCGACCCTCCTTCCCTTTCGGCACCATGCAGAATCCGTTACGTCCGAAAGCGAACTTCGGGTTAACCATCAAGGGCCAGTATGCGGAGTCTAAACAGAAAGGGCTTCGACACGTGGGACTATTCACATTTACGAAGCCCACTTACTTGGCCATCGACTTGGAGTACGTGAGAAATGTGCTCTCCAGTGATTTCGAGCACTTCGTTGATCGCGGTGTGTATTCGAACGAGAAGGACGATCCTCTCAGTGCGAACCTGGCAGCGCTGCGGGGGGCGAAGTGGAAGAAGCTGCGAGCTAAGCTGACTCCCACGTTTACCTCAGGGAAGATGAAGATGATGTTTCCTCTGCTCGTTGAGTGCGGAAGGCAGATGGTTGAGGCGATGTGCACAGAAGAACCTATCGACATTAAGGATTGGCTGGGACGTTTCGGCACCGACGTGATTGGCTCGTGCGTGTTTGGGATCGACTGCAACAGCTTCAAGGAGCCGAACTCAGAGTTCAGGGTTACCGGAAAGCGTGCATTCATGTGGACCAAATGGGAGAGTGCCAGAAATTTTTTGGCGTTTTCCAACCCGAACCTCGCCTTAAAACTGGGGATCCGAACCATTCCTGCTGAAGTATCAAATGTCTTTCAGAAGCTGGTTCGCGAGGCGGTGGAAATGCGAGAAAAAAGTGGGGTTAAGCGCGGCGATTTCCTGCAAGTCTTGCTGGATTTGAAGAACAGCACAGACGAAGAAGAGCAACCCCACTTGTCAATTACCGAAATGACAGCGCAAGCATTTCTGTTTTTCGTCGCTGGATTTGAAACGTCATCTTCAACTTTATCATTCTGTTTGTTCGAATTAGCCCAACACCAAGACATGCAGGAGAAGGTTCGGGAGGAGATTGAGTCAGTTTTGGGCACTCACAACGAACTTACTTACGAAGCTATTAAGGAACTGAAGTACACGAGGCAGGTCATCGACGGTGAGTACCAACGATTTTCAGTCGCATCACTCAAACTCCAACACCTTAGAAACCTTGAGAAAGTACCCTCCGCTACCCCACCTGGTGAGAAGGTGTGTAAAGGACTACAAAGTGCCCGGTACCAACTTGACCATTGAGAAAGGCACAGCAGTAACCGTATCGGTCTACGGCATCCACTACGACCCCGACTACTACCCCAACCCCGAACAGTTCGACCCCGAAAGATTCAGCGCCGAAAACAAGCCGACGATCAAGCCCTTTACCTACTTGCCGTTCGGCGAGGGACCGCGAATGTGCATCGGTACGTCCGTCGACTTCTCGACAAAATAATGATGGAAAATTTCAGGTCTGCGCTTCGGACTTATGCAAGTGGCGGTTGGATTGGCGCTACTTTTAAAAAATTTCCGTTTCACTTTGAGCGAAAAAACCAAGGTTCCTCTCAAGTACAACGCCAACAGCATCATTCTGTCGGTTGTGGGAGATATATGGCTAAAAGTTCACAAAATACAGTGAGATTTCACTATGTACATAGCGTTTTTTAAAGAATAAATTTTGTATTTACTCACTATTCCATCTTCCGATCCCAAAGATCACTTTGTTTGTAGATTCGTGTCCGAGTCATTTTTAGATGCTCGATATTATTAATATGCTTTGTTATTTTCATTTAACATTCATTAATTGAATTGAATTCTTAGTAATTCGTACGTATAATTTCCATTGAGTGCTGCAGCTTGTCAGTTCGAACGAACGTTAAGGGTTCAGTCAACGAAAAAGAAGTAGACATACCTCACCACATCCGGCCACGCACTTATATGGAAACCTAAAATGACACACAAAGTCACTAAGATCATTCCAAAAAGATGGGGGGTCGGTGATGTCGTTGTGGGCGGAGCGGGCTGTCGGGTGTAGCTGTACAGACGGTGCAAGTAGCGTAGAATATGCCTGGTAAGAATGAGAAAACTTGGAACTGTCGTCTCCGTTCGTTTAACAAAAGAAAAACAAGGAAACAAGGAACCTAACACGGTCTCAGTTACCCATCAGGTACTTTGCATCACGATAATTTAGAAGCGCGCAACGTGCGGTGGTATTGCCTATCAAACTGCGCGAGTGAGGCAGGTGGTAGCAGTGCAAACGACTCGTTCAGCAAATACACTTGAACCTCGATTGTATGGTAGAAACCAATAAATGCTTCAGATGCTTCAAATGGTTAAGATGCTTCAGATGCTTCAGATGCTTCAGATGCTTCAGATGCTTCAGATGCTTCAGATGCTTCAGATGCTTCAGATGCTTCAGATGCTTCAGATGCTTCAGCCTCCTCAGGTGCATCAGATGCTTCAGACGCTTTAGGCGCTTCGGATGCTTCGCTTCCTGAAGATGCTTCGCATGATCTAGATGCTTCAGATGCTTAGGATTCTTCGAATTCGTTGGATTCTTCGGATTTTTCGGATTCTTCACATTTTTGCATCCTTCACATTCTTCAAATCCTTTACATCCTTCACGTTCTCCACGTTCTTCACGTTCTTCACATTCTTCACATTCTTCACATTCCTCACATTCCTCACATTCTCTTCACATTCTCTTCACATTTTCTTCACATTCTCTTCACATTCTCTTCACATTCTCTTCACATTCTCTTCACATTCTCTTCACATTCTCTTCACATTCTCTTCACATTCTCTTCACATTCTCTTCACATTCTCCTCACATTCTCCTCACATTCTCCTCACATTCTCCTCACATTCTCTTCACATTCTCTTCACATTCTCTTCACATTCTTTTCACATTCTCTTCACATTCTCTTCACATTCTCTTCACATTCTCTTCACATTCTCTTCACATTCTCCTCACATTCTCCTCACATTCTCCTCACATTCTCTTCACATTCTCTTCACATTCTCTTCACATTCTTTTCACATTCTCTTCACATTCTCTTCACATTCTCTTCACATTCTCTTCACATTCTCTTCACATTCTCCTCACATTCTCCTCACATTCTCTTCACATTCTCTTCACATTCTCTTCACATTCTCTTCACATTCTCTTCACATTCTCACATTCACATTCTCTTCACAATCGCTTCACATTCCTCACATTCTTCACATTCTTCACATTCTTCACATTCTTCACATTCTTCACATTCTTCACATTCTTCACATTCTTCACATTCTTCACATTCTTCACATTCTTCACATTCCTCACATTCGTCACATTCTTCACATTCCATAAGTCCCATAAGATCCATAAGATCCATAAGATCCATAAGATCCATCAGATCCATAAGATCCATAAGATCCATAGGATCCATAGGATCCATATGGTCCATAAAATTTATAAGATCCATAAGATCCATAAGATCCATAGGATCCATAAGATCCATAAGATCCATAAGATCCATAAGGTCCATAAGATCCATAAGATCCATAGGATCCATAGGATCCATAAGATCTATAAGATCCATAAGATCCATAAGATCCATAAGATCCATAAGATCCATAAGATCCATAAGGTCCATAAGATCCATAAGATCCATAAGATCCATAAGATCCATAAGGTCCATAAGATCCATAAGATCCATAAGATCCATAAGATCCATAAGATCCATAAGATCCATAAGATCCATAAGATCCATAAGATCCATAAGATCCATAAGATCCATAAGATCCATAAGATTCATAAGATCTATAAGATCCATACGATCTATAAGATCCATACGATCCATAAGATCCATAAAATCCATAAGATCGATAAGAACTTCATAAATTCCTTTTTATTTAACCATTTCTGGGTTGGGAGGTGAGTGTCAAAAAACGCACAATTAAATTAAGACCGCCGGTTGTGCCAAGTCACAATTTGACGTCATGTGTTTCTTTGCAGTGCCCTCACAAATGGCTCTTCTGTCGAATTGTGCCTGTACGGAGACCCTTGCACTAGTTCTGTGCGTCGGGATCGGAATCTTCGCCTACTTTAAGTGGGCGTTCGGCTATTGGAAGAGGAAAGGCGTCCCATACTTGAAACCATCGATTCCAATGGGAAACATGGAGTGCCCCATAATTCCCAAACGGTCGTTTGCAGAGTCGGTTCGCGAATGGTACAGCGAGGCGAAGCGAAGGGGCGACAAGCACGTGGGGCTTTTCATATTCTCAAAACCCGTATACATGCCGATCGATTTGGAACTTGTGAGGAATGTCCTCGTGAAAGATTTCGATCACTTCGTCGACCGTGGCGTCTTCTTCAACGAGCGGGACGTGCTCAGTCTGCAGCTGTTCTCGCTCGAGGGATCGCGTTGGAGGAATTTGAGAGCGAAGCTAACTCCCACCTTTTCATCGGGAAAGCTGAAGACTATGTTCGGAATGGTGGCGGCGTGCGGGAGGCAAATGGTGAAAGCTATGGAAGACAAAGGTGGGCCGATCGACATAAAAGATTGGGCGGGTCGCTACGGTACCGACGTCATTGGCACCTGCGCCTTCGGTATCGAGTGCAACAGCTTCCAAAACCCCAACTCGGATTTTAGACGCTTTTCCAAAAGGGCTCTGTTACCAACCGCGTGGAACAGCTTCAAAATCTTCCTAGCCTTTACAAGTAAAAACCTAGGGAGGATGCTAGACATACGCATAACACCCGATGATGTCTCCGGCTTCTTCACGAAGATTGTTCAGGATACCATCAAGTACAGAGAGGAGAATAAGGTCGTCCGAAGTGACTTCTTGCAAATTCTGTTGGATTTGAGAAACGCAACGGACGAGAGTGGCCACCATTTGACTGTCGAAGAAATTGTAGCGCAATCCTTCCTGTTTTTCCTAGCCGGATTTGAGACAATGTCAACCGCCATGACTTCTGCCTGTACGAACTAGCCGTAAACGTTGACCTCCAGGAAAGGGTACGAGACGAAGTCGAAGCGGTCTTGGAGGCGCACAACGGCGAGCTGACCCACGAAGCGGTCGCCGAGATGAAGTACATGAAACAAGTGATCGATGGTGAGCGCAACTTTCAATTGCCTTTTAAGTGCTTGGTTCCTTACAGAAAGCCTACGGAAGTATCCGCCTGGTTCGCATCTGGTACGAAAGTGCGTGGCGGACTACAAAGTTCCTGGCACGAGTGTAACCGTAGAAAGCGGAACAGCGGTTCTCGTCTCAGTGTACGGGTTGCACTACGACCCGGAGTACTTTCCGGATCCTGAGAGGTTCGACCCTGACAGATTCAGTGAGGAGAACAGAAGCAAAATTGGTGCTTACATGGCTTTCGGCGAGGGACCGCGGATGTGTATTGGTGAGACTCATCTACGAAATTGACCTCGTTTTTATTTTGCCATTGTAGGTGTGCGGTTCGCCTTCCTGCAGTTGAGAGTGGCCCTTGCGCTCCTCCTGAAAGACTTTCGTTTCACCGTGAGCGAGAAGACGAGGGAGCCCATACAAATGAACCCTCAGAGCTTAGTTCTGTCCGTATTGGGAGATATTTGGTTAAATATTGAAAGAATATAAGTGAAATAATTTAGAAAGTTTCGTCACCTTTGGGCCTAACGGGTCCTTTTTAGCGTCCGTGTAATCCAATTTTGGTTTCCTAACATTTTTTAATCTTTTACACAGTTCTTTTTTAAATCTATATTAAATTATATTGTTTTGAGCAATCTTTTTTACCTCATTTTGATCCCTTTTTTGACAGCCTGCTTACCTCTTTTGATCGTATGGTCGCCTCTCTTTACCGCCGCGCCGCCATTTTGGTCATTTTTGGTTTTATTTTAAGCATTCCTTTGTCTTCCTTCTCTTTCCTTAGCTTGCTTTATCCCTTCTAATGGGAATGGGTATTCTTTTTTGGGTCCCTTTTCACAATGGTTGACCTTTCAATTGCATGTTCTTAATCCGTTCTGTCCTCGATCTTCCTTTTGGTCTTTTTTTTGGCTCGCTGTGCTTCCTTTTAACCCCTTTAGTTCCATTTTGAAGTTTTTTTGTCATTTTTTAGATACTTTTTTCCCTGTTTGTCTATTTGTGCCTCTTTTTTGTCCCATTAAGTTCATTTGGTTTTTTCAGCTTCCTTAAAAACCCCTAAGTTTTATATTGATATTAGTTTTCTATTATGTCTTTAGCCTTTTTTGTGTATTATGGTCTTCTAAGTTTCTCCTTAGGCACCATTAATTTGGTGGTAGCATTATATATATAAATATACAATGGTGGTAGTCGCCATTTTAAAGTATAGTTTCAGTTTGATTTTGTTTTATTGTTAGCTTCTCTGTTATTTTGCAGTAGCCGCTCAATGCCTCTTAATTTCGTTTGTTTTATTGCTTTACTTTCGTCTCTAATTTCAATGAAGTCTAAAAGGTCCCTTTGACCTGCTTGCTTTTCCTTGATCGTCTAGTCTAGTAAACCTCCTTTTAGCTTTATTTTGCCACGTTATTTCTCTCCCTTTGGTGTCCTTTCGGACCTTTTTTAGGTTCTCTATGACTTATTTACGTTTTTTTTTGGCTGTTGCTGTTTTTACGAGAGTGTTAAGTTCGTCTTTTAATCTCTTTTTGACCTATCTTTAGCCTTTGTTTAGTTACTACCTTTTCATCTTACTCTCACTTCAGTTCAATTT